ATCCTTCACTCCTAGCCCTAACCCCCAAGCAGACTTTAAGAAATTATATGTGCTTGCATTTGGTTTTTGTTTCTGCTTTGTTAGGAGTTGAGAATGGAAAAGCATCTCTGGTGAGAGAACAGAGGGTAAAAACACAAGTGAACACTTCAATATATAACTTTCAATGTATAACAGCTGCTTAATATGCTCCCTCTGTGTACTCTCCGAGAAGATAGTCTTCCTCCAAGAAGGGAACATGACTAGGCAGTGAAGAAGGAAGCCAATCAGCCTGCCCAGCCAGTCTGACCAGCAAGACAGTTATGGTCACTATCAAAGTTATGTGTTGCAGCCAGCAATTTCTCCCAGTTCCCTCTGACACTGTCTCTGTGTTAGTATAGATTTGGACATAATATCAAGTTTGATTACCTTTCCATACTTGAATTTAGTAACTTCTTCAATTTTTTTAAACAAAAATTTGAGTAGAAATACCAGTTTAACATCTTCTTAATTAATTCTTATTGCTATTTATAAACTATAGTCTATCAGAAATTTAGGCAGAACTACATTTAATTGTACCATTTTGGGGGCAGGGGGAAAGGGCATTTATTGAAACCTTAAAATCTGTACCCCGATAATATGCCAAAATAAAAAATAAGTAAGTAAAAATAAATAAAAAATAAATTGTACCATTTTATGCATATATTTAAAATAGCTCTCAGTTCTACAAATATTCATAATAATATGAATCATTATTATCCTCTTCTGGGGTGATAATATTCATATTCTCCCTACACCTTCCTGAACTAGGCTTTCAGAAGTTTACGCCAAGTGTCCACTCTTGATACATAGTTCTGCTACAACTGCTCAGGAAATCTAACAATGTGGAAATCCACCTTTTCAGTCTTTCATATAATTTTTCTTCTCTACAGAAGTGGTTCTCAACCTGGGCTACACATTGTAATCACCGGGGGAACTTTAAAAAGAATCTTAAAACCCAGGCTGCATCCCAGACAGATTGATTCAGATCTCTGGGAGTAGGCCAAGGCGTCAATATTTTTTATAGCTCCCCCATGGATTCCAATGTGCATTCACAGTTTGGAATTGCTGTTCATAGGCCTTGCCAGTTTACTGAGAATTGAATTAAGAGAACATCTGAGCTTATCATTTTCCTTCTGAGAATTTTTTGAAAAGCAAGAAAGATTGTTGAACAAAAAAGCCATAATATTTTGCTAGTGTGAATAGCTTAGATTGAAATCATACAGACCTGTGTTTTAGTCCCATTTCTGCTACCTATAGGAGTATAAATGTAGGAAACTCACTTACCCTCCAGTTTCACCCATTTGTAACTGGAAATAACACCCACCTTCTACAGGTTTTGTTAGTGTTAAATGAGATAATATGTGTAAGGTATTCAACATGATGTCATAAGCTAAAAAAAATCATAAAAGGGTAGGAAATATTACTAGTTCAGAAATGACTATCTGTTCATTGTTCATCAGAGAGGACAGGACCTCAGAGTCTCCACTGGCCATTTGTTGTCTTTATAGTGACATGAAGAAATAAGATTCTAATAGGATTTTTAGACATAGACAGAAAGGTGCTCATTTTAAGATTGTGCCAGTACCTCTCAGACTTGGAAAACCTCAGGATGATACTAAGGAGCTGGATTTTAGGAATGATGGATGTCTTCACCCATGGAGGTACTAGTTGAAGCAGGAGGTACCTGAGAAGGAGCTAAGCAGCCAGCCACAATACAGTTCTTCTTGCCTCCAAAAGAGGAGTTATGCACTTTCCCACACTCAGTGTGATGCATTCCATTTGCTAAGAAAAGTGGCTTGTGTCATTCTTGAATACTGCTTTCAAGTTCTCATATATTAGATTCATTTTTTTCTGTATAAATAGCATTCATACATTAATATTTAGTCGAGTTAATAATATTTCCTACCCTTACTCCAGGTTGCCCATCAACTGGGTCCTCATCTTCAGGCTCTCTCACAAGTATGCAATCAAAGTGTCAGCCAGGGCTGTGGTCTCATCTGAAGACTGGGCTGGGGAAAGATCAGCTTTCATGCTCACTTACACAGTTGTTGGCAGGATTCATTTATTCAAAGTTTGCGAAACTGAGGGCCTCCACTTTTTCTGGTTGTTGTCCAAAAGTCACTCTCAATTCTTTGCCATGTGGTTCTCACCCACACAGCAGTTTACTTCATCAAAACTGGCAACAGAGTGAGTCTGCTAGTGAGACAGAAGTCTCAATCTCTTGTAACCTAATCATGAAAGTGACATCGCTCAATGCTGCCATATTCTGTTGGTTAGAAGCAAGTTACCCCAGGGAAGGAAATACATAAGGCTGTAAATTACAGAAGGCAGGAATCACTGGGGCAACTTTAGGAGCTGCACTTAACAGCATATACCCAGCCATAAAAGAAAGGGGGAAGGAAAGAGAAAAAAAGAAGGAAGGTGAAAGGGAAGAAGAGAAGGGACAAAAAGATAGACAGAAAAAAGACACAGAAAAAATAGCTTTCATGTAGTAAGTACATCTATATCCAAGTTCCATGTATAGGCATACACTTCATCACATTAGCACCACAACCATAAATTTCCTATTTCTTATTTAGAATGAAAGGATCATAGGACTTTCTATGCATCTGGAGTTAAAAGGAAAACAGAATAAACTTAAGAATACTAAGTTAAAGTAAGCAAAATGTGTTTCAAATTAGTTCCTTTTTAAGTTTTTTTTTTCCAGCTGACAAAGTTTTTTTTTTTTAAATTTCTGTTTTAAGTTTTGAGTTGGGTTTATTATTCTTGCCATTATGTGACAGACATATTACACAGGGCATATAGAAAGCTGGATGTCCTTTGCATTTGGTATTCTCTGGTTGTTTCAGCTCAAATGCCAAAATTATGTTTTTATTTTGTACATTATTGTTAATGGTTGTATATGTCTCTTAATTGTAAAAGTGAAGTTGTATAGTACCTTGTATGTTATCTCTTCCAGGCTCTCTATTGGAGAAAATGGAACCCAATTGGCTTGGGAAGGTCAAGGTTAAATAGTGTCAAAGCCAACACTAGAAGACCAAATCTCTTAATTTCTAATCTAGTGCATTACTTTTTACCTTCTGCGCAAATGGTCAGAATGTGAAATATTCTTCTCAAGCCTGCAGGCATAGTTGTGGTTTAAGTATGTTTTAATAATCACAGATTTTCTAAAAAGACCTAAAATAGTGTTTTCAGTGCTTCAGCTAGTAGAAAAATACCTTTATCCATGTACTTTACTATATGCTAGTTGTTCAACTAACGAAACACTCACCTTTTTCACTGTATTCACTTGTAACAAATCCCACAGGCTCCTACACTTCTTTGGGAGTGCTTTGGGAAGGGTTAGTAAATACTGACCACATCAAGAGGGCTTCCCTTCTGCCTTTAGTACCAAGGCACAGCCTGTCCATATCCAAAAATCATGTAAGCTCAGTTCATACAGGAAAAGGAGTCTTTCTTACAACACTATGAACATAGAATTTTATTACAAAAGAAGTCCTGCTGTCATCAATATGTGCTCCCAGAGATAAGGACATATCAGCAACTCAGGATTTTCTGAAGATTGGCTTGCTTATAGCCAGACTATTCAGGGCAAGAGGTATTCTTAAACAAGAACACATTTCCTGAGCCTGAGCTTCTTCACTACATTAATATCAGTATTAGTGAAAGGGGGTGAGGGTGAGCTCTGCATTTCCTAGCCTTATCATCTCTTCTTACCCTGCTTATTTTTCTACATAGGATCCCCACATATGTGTTTTTTGCATGTTATTTATTTTTTAATTATCTTTTAAAATATTCAGAAAGATATTTTAAGATTGAGAGCCTCCCTAATGCTCAAGAATGAGAGTTTTAGATTCGAGAACAAATATATTAAGTTCACAATCGAATGGAGGACTAATCACATAAGAAGCAAAAAAAAATAAAAAAGAAAGAAGAAGAAGTAAAGAAACCTGACCATCTCCAAAATGGCCATGGATGCCAGAGAATTGACTCATAAAAATGGGTTTCACTTCAGACTTGTCTGTTGCACGTGTATAGCTGCAGATTTCATAGATGCAGAGGAATTTTGGCTAATATCCTTGATACCAAGGCACACCCTGATCTGAAGGCATTCTCTACTTCCTAAATTAAAATTAACATGTATGTATGCATAACTTGTTTAGAGATGGCATCTTTTTAAGGAGTTTCCTGGCTGATCTTGTGAAAGAATGCAAACACAAGTGACTTTTTTTCAAAAATCTATAGAAAGAAAAATGGCCCTGTAGTGGATGCTGTGGTCCCCACACCAGATCCCCTCTGTCCACCTGATGTCAGCACAGCCATATGGTTCCCAGTTGCCAACTTGCACATTGCTTTGCACACTCAAGTGCCTTCCCAGGCAAGGACCCTCAGTCCATGTGCAGGTGCAGCCTGGAAGTGCATGGGAGCTAATGTCTCAAAGGAACCCCTCAACAAGTGGGTACTGAGAGTCAGTGGATGAATGTCCCAGCCTCCTCCCATCCTATAAAACAGCAATGAGGCCCTTTCTACACAGCTTCTCAGAGGGGCCCCAGTGGGGTTGGGCCCCAGTTAGCCACTGTGATAACCAATTCAATCACACACACATTACTAGCTGTTCTCTTTTCCCTTCCCACTCTCCCCATCCCCTCACTTCTAGTTCCTGGGGTCACCTTCCAGATGAACTACCTGCACCCAAAACCTCATCTCTAGCTCTGATTTCTTAAAAAGGTCCGAAGAAATAATGCTTGAAATAAAGGCAGAATGGTTTGCCTCTAGAATCAAGGGCTGACGCTGGCAAGCAACAGGTTCTGAAACTATGACCTAGGAGCAAAGCTTTTGTGGAAGACATTGGCGTCACCTCCTCGATACAGAATATGCTGGCTTCGTCCTAGTAGTTTCTTCTTGGAACACTTTAAATATGTGTTTTATTAGGACCACATATGACACTCCTGATTTCATGCCTTGCCTTTTTTTTATTCTAGATTCTTCTGGGAAGCCTAAATTCACCAAGTGCCGTTCACCTGAACTAGAGACTTTCTCATGCCACTGGACAGATGAGGTTCACCATGGTTTAAAGCACCCAGGATCTGTACAGCTGTTCTATATTAGAAGGTGCAGACTTCGTGCCTTTCTGATTTTTCTTTCCATGGATGTGCTGACTAAAATATGCTGAATCAATTGCAGTGTAGGAATAGAAGTGATTTATTTTAATAACCTAAAAGTATCATTCATTCATTTATTGAAAAAAAATTAAGCCCTTACTGTATGCTGAGTACTATTTTAGACACTGGAGATAGAGCAGGGATTACAAAAAGTTAAAAACCTTGGTCTCATGGATATTTCTTTCCAATGGGGGGAGATCGGCAATAAAAAAAATAAATAACATGTCAACTGGTATGGGTTAATATAGGTTACCTATATTATACCAATATAGGTTAATAAGGAAAATAAAACTAGAAAGAGGATAAAGAACATCAGCACCGTGTGTAAGTGTGTGCATGTGCATGATAGCATGTGAGAGTGAGTGTATCAAAATGTGAGTGAGAGTGTGTGTGGATACCCATGGGTGTGTGCACCTGGGTGAGGGAGTGTGCGTAAGGGGCTTGAGTTCTATTTGAAATGGGAGTTCATAGGAGCCCTCTTGAATGTGGTATGGAGCAGAGACATAAATAAAGTGGGAGGGGCCATGTGAATGTCTGGGAGAAAGCTTGTCCAGGCAGAGGAAATTGCAAGTGCAAAGGCCCTGGGGCAGCTTTGGCATGTTCAAGGAAAGCAGAGGACATCACAGATGGCACAAAATTGAAAACGGGGAGAGTAATATGGGAAGGAGACAGAGAGTTAATTAGGGACAGACTGTCAAATAGGGCTTTGAATTTTACTTTATTTGTGGTAAAAAAAAAATAAAAAATAAAAACTTTGGATGTTTTTTGAAAAGATGTACTATCTAAAAGATACATCTTGGTTTCTATGTGTAGCATAGACTACATTCTTCCTTAATTAGATGTATTCAACAAAGGACTGTAATACTTTTCTCTTACATTTTTACCAATGATCCTGTAAAATAGCAGGGGAAGAATGAAACAAAGATTTTTCAACATAGTTACCACCCAAATAGTTTATTTCTTTCCCCTCACCTGGCATTATTTCCTTTTCTGTTTACTCTTACATTGTACCTTTTTTCCATTTTTTTAATTTTAGGCTTAAACACTGTATCATTTCTTCTTTTCCACCCAACCCCCAGGGAAGGCCTAAGCCAAGATGCAGGGTTAGTGAGGCCCCTTCCTTTAGGCCCTTATTGTTCATTATTCTGAGGATGATGCTGTCTACCCCATAGAGGAGCTGGGAAAGGGAAGAAAGATGCAGTGAGCAGTTGAGGACATGAGCTCAGGGGGCCACCAAACCTTCAGCCTGGCTGTGGCACTGTCTTACCAAGTAATTCTCAGCATTGTCTCTGCACAACTCAGCCTCCTTATTTGCAGAATAGAGATAGTATACTTGCCTCATGGATTCTTGTGAGGATTTTATTAGACAATACATGAAACACCCTTGGCAGAGTGTGTCACACATAATAAGTACTGAGTAAATGGTAGCTATTATTCTTACTGGTGGCATAATAATAACAATTTAAAATAATGATATAGAATGCTAATTTCTGGGCTATAAAAATGATTTTTATTCTTTATAGTTTATGATTATTGATATGCCATGAGACCATTTTTAATGCAAAGCTGGGTTTTTAATTTGCAGATAACAAATACTTTGAGTTAGCAACCAAGGCTGGCCTTCCCACCTTCTAGGTTTGAGAGAAGTCTCTTGGACGTACCCCAAAGGGCACACAAAGATGAGGTGATTGGGCACCAAATACATTATTTTTTTCCTTGCAGCTGACACTGCAGGAGATAGGGGCCGGTCAGCAAAGAAGATTTGTATAAATACATTGAGACATGAAGTTAGTGTGTTTGGTAACACTTTTGAATATGTTTGGAATTGATTATGTTATTTGTACATGAAGAAAGAGGCTCAGTAAGTGCAATTTTTATGCTTTACTTCCACAACTCAGTGAGCCAGCTGAATCAAAACAAATAAAATAAGCTACTTGTCCAGGCACAATGAACCGAATTGAACACAGAAATAGCAGAATAACATCTTGAGCTGGACCCACTTTATGAAAATAGTTTTTTCACCACGTTAATAATCACCAAATCTGAATGTGAGCAAAAGGAGAAATCCAAAGGTATTAAGGCATCACAAATATACCTTTGTCTCTTACCGTCATCTGTCACGGCGACGTGACTCTGCAGGACTCTTTTGCAGTCCCCAGGCCTTTCAGCATCCAAACCCAGGCTCTGTACTAACAAGGATGCTGCTGAAAATGTGGCCAGATGGTGGGGAAATTTCAGGCATATTCAGAAGAATGTCTCAGGTTTTGCCCTAGTGGAGTTTGGAATCCCGGGGGTAAAAATTGTCACATCATAAACACCCCAAGTGTAACCTCATGATTAAGTGACAACCAAAATTTGCAAAATCGATATTTTGTGTTTTCTATAAAAATATAGCTATTTTGAATATTTTAGCCAAACTATTTTAGCAGAAGCCCACAGCCCAATTTATCTGTGATGGGTTGAATTGAGGCGTTAGGAGTATCGGGACCGGGCTGCACTGACCAGTGCACATATGTATTACACTTGTCATTGCCCACTTACACAAAGAGGACAATTAAATGCATTTTCTGACTCTTGTCATGATTTCTGAGAATTCAGTTACAACTCCTGAAACTACAGAATCATGCTTCCCATCCCTGATGCAAAAATAAAACTGTAACATGATTTTATCCAAACCCGGAATCAGTGAAGGCAGAAAGGAGCAGAGTGGGGGTGGTGCAGTGGGCATTCAGTTCGCTGGCCTGGCCTTGGCATCTAAAGCGTAATGGAATCTAAACACATCGGGCTGTCAACAGGACAGTTCGGGCACAGCCCCACAGGCAGTCACATGTTTTCCTTAGCTCTGCTCCTTGCCAGGTGAGCTGGCAGAAGAAGCAGCTTCAACGTGTCGGGGCAGCTGATTCAAAACAGTCTCGGCTTCCCTGTGATGGAGATGGTGCCAAATTCAGCCTTGGAGCTTGGAAGGGACACGGCATGAATGCAGATCACAAGCATGGCAAAAGGAGGCCCTGTGAAGCGTGTCTGAGCTGCTCCGCTCTCAGTTGCTTGCATGTAAATGCCTTGTTTCCAAAGGAAATGGGCATATCTACACTTGGTCCTTAAGGATATATCCCCCACTTCTGACGTCTCAACCCAAATTCCCCTCCAAAAATTATCCTAGCCTTATGAAAGAAATTTTGTTTTTCTTGCAAGGTTGTGGGGGAAATTAAAAGGGAGAAAGGGCATTGTTATTATATCTTTTTCCCCTAAGGAAAGTGTTAAATCTTAAGCCAAAACCACATGAGCTGTATGACATGAAAACAATTGCCGCTGAAACATAAATGTTTTATTTTTATGATTTCTTTCCCAATTGGTTACCTTTAGATGGAAAATATTTCATTTGCTTTTTATTCTGATGTTTAATGATAGTCTTTTTCTATGGTTCTCACTCCTATTTCACAAGATAGTCTGGGAACAAACCTAAAGGACTTAATTTGGGGGAGTAAGAGCAGGAAAGAGTAGCTGCCATAAATTGGCTTTGGTCTTCTGTGTAGAAATTCAACCCAGTGAAGAGAGATGACAGAATATCTGTTTTATAACTCCATTTGTCTAGATTTAATACTTTAAAAAAATAAGTTTGGAATATTTATTTAAAGTAAAATTCAACTTTGGTTAAGGAAGAATAAAATTGAGAGTTGTGTTTTGAAATAGCTGTTCTTGATCCATCATGCTTAACATAAGTGCTTTAACTTGTTTGTCCTGTGGAGTTAATGGATTTGTGATAATCTAAACAAGGGTTTTTCACACAGTCCTCATGGGGACCAGGGTACTGACATGCCAAAGTTGAGAAGCTATGTGAAACACACCAGAGATAATCTCCGTGTTATAAATCCAGACCTGCTAAGCACTATTCTGTATCTTTAGAACATCTTAATACTTTGAATTTTCTAGCTTTTACATTATTGATTTTGCCAAATGTATTTGATATCTCCTCTACTAGTATATGAAAGCCTCATTCCCTGGGCAATCTTAAGCCATTCTCTTCAAAGCACTTTTATTTAGTTTGAATGTCAATATCAAATTAACCATAGTATGTAGTTCAATGACCCACTTATCCCTAATTTTTTAAATCTTGTTCCTGCTACTCTAAACACATGTACATGCATTGACACACATACACACAAACACACTTGATCCTTTCTTCTATCATTTAGCCACTTACCATTCCCATCAGGGATGAATATCCCTCTCATCCAGTGATATTCAACTTCTAAGAATCTCAACCAGAATTTAAGTAACAATTCACTATCTTAGACCCGGCAGTCTCTGCCATTTTAATCCCAAGTTCTTTCCAACAGCTGATGAGCAGCTGTCTCAAGGACCCCCTGATACTGCACTGGTTCCTCCTAGTGCCAAACAGACCAGCCTGAGAAACAGCTGTAATGAAGACAACATGTGTCTTCTCCTCCCTCCCTTCCAGGCCTACAGTGTCTTCCTCACCCATTGCTACCCAGCACCTGTCCCAGCAGAGGGATGGTTCCAAACCTGCACTGTCTGGCCTGCCAGCCACAGGCACCTCTGCCTGCACAGGGTCATTCCTACCTCCCTCTTCCTCCATGGAAGATTACATGGTTTTATGTCCCCTTGACTTATAAATCCTCATCTTAACTGATAAGTTAGTGGGTAAAAAGGGGATAAGGAATGACCCCACCCACCCAAGCAGCAATTCTAATTTAAGAAAATTCTTTCCTGTCATTCCATTGCCTCCTGCTCCCCTCACCACATTCGTTCCCATACTTCCTTACTTCACTGTCTTTAACTACTTTGTTCCCTCCTTTCCTTGCCTTGTTGCCATCTATTAAACTTGTACCTGTCCTTTAAAGTTGCTAAAAACCCCACCTCTACCTTGAAACCTTCCATAATGAGCTAGAAAAATCATTCCCTCTTCTGAACTTTTAGAGACCCTAATGGGCACTGCTAATGAGCACTCATCCACACTGCTTTGTATTAATATGTTGTTTTTTAGTTTTTTCCCCCTGAGGCAGGAATAATTCTTTAGAAATGTGTGAATCTCCCAAGAGTGTATAGCACAGTGTTTTGTACATAATCAGTTCTCATTGAATATCAACAGAATGAGTGCATGAGACCAAAAAGAGTGCTGCAATGAGAATTTCTGAGTCTTCTTGCATCCTGAAGTTAGGGACTTAATCTTATTTATCATTATATCTGCATAGCACTGGTGCCAAACATAATGTATCCCTCAGCGTAGAGCACACATCAGCTGGCTCCTCACTTTCTCCCACTACGAGTTGGAAAAGCACCCAGGTCCAAAGCTTCACTGTTTTCTGGGATCCTCTGGGGTTCTGTATAATTTGGGGAATGACTCTCTGCACTATTTTAATAAGGGAACATTTTTAAAACCTCCCTAAGCCCCAGAACCCCTAGAATCATCACATAGAATGTGAATGAATATAATACCTACCATAGGAATCACTTAATTTAGGAGCCGGCATAGAATATGCATTCAATAAATGATGCTTTTATTATAGGCAGAAGTACCAAATGGCCTCCTAGTAGCCTTTAGACACTGATGATATTGCTCACAGATGTGGAAATGGTGTTGCTAAAATATTTCCTCACAAAGTATTTGTGTTCCAGTTTATTGAATCTGACTGTCAAGCACCTCACTTTGACTTAAGCTGTGGCATGATTTTTGGAATGATTATTCTTTTTTATTCTCCATTTCAGGAGCACTCAAGAATGGACCCAAGAATGGAAAGAATGCCCCGATTATGTCTCCGCTGGAGAAAACAGCTGTTACTTTAATTCGTCATATACCTCCATTTGGATACCTTACTGTATCAAGCTAACTAGCAATGGTGGTACAGTGGATCAGAAGTGTTTCTCTGTTGAGGAAATAGGTAAATCACAGGTTTGTGTTTCGTTTGACATAGGTTCAGACTAAGTAATTGGGAAAGCCTTCAATGTCCAAATGTAACCAAGTAGGAAGACTGTAATAGTGTTTATCAGTACATGGAGATCTATTTTGCTGGAGATGGGTTCAGCTGGTGAACAAGAGAAAAAGGGCAGGAGTAGTTTAAGTTGACTCTAACATAAAGCGGCCTGGCAGTAAACGTTGTGAAGACTAGAATGGGAGCCTTGTGGAGTTTTTTCCTTTAGGTCTTTAAAGCTGGATTGCATTCTTGTGTGCCACTGCAAGGGGTGAACTTAATATTCTCTTAAGATTTCTTCTCTCTTAATTGTCTAATATGATGATTATATTCAGATCTACTGAAATACACTGGGTTTTGACTTCTATCATTGCTATAATCAAAGCCTAGATTTTCTTTATCAGAAACTATAATAATTCTGGAATTTTACATTTACAAAACAGCCATAAACCATTTAAAGACATGTTTATAAGATCTCAAAACAAGCATTGGAGATCATCAGCTCAATGGATTAAATGAAAGATGCAAACAGAGGATCCTTTGCCCAGCATGTGGACACAGGGGGAAATAAAACAAAGCAAAGCAAACAACTATATTTAGTATATTAGTGTTTATACTGCAATAGTATAAACAGCAAAATAGAATCAAAGAAGGACTTTGAGTAACTGATCTTGGTGCCTCAAAATCTATCCACATAAGCTCATGTGTTGCTTATAGGAATTCCTTGTCACTTCTCTCAGATGTGCTGCTCTCATGGGTGGTTCCCTGGGCATGAGCACACTGGAAGAGACAGGAGAATGTGGCTTGAAGCTGCAGATGGAAACAAATAAAATCATATAGTTTGGGTTTGAGGGAAAATATTGAGAAAACTGTAACAAGCAAAAAAGATAACCCAGTTGCACAGTTTGGAGAGACAATTTCATATATGTCCTAACATCCATGGGTGTAGTTATTGAGCTACAGCTAATAAGATAGTTGAAGGGGGTAGTATAAAGAACACTGGGTTAAGGACTGTGTTCTAACCCATCCCTGCCAATAACCAAACCTCCTCATTTAGCTGGCTGACTTGCTCAGGCACTGTGCTGGGGATGGTGGCTATAGAATGAGTAAGATACAGTCCAAGAGGGGAATTGGGCATGTACACAAATAATTTTAGTACAATGTAGTAGGTGCTGGACTCAAGGTGTGTGGAATACAGAATGACCAAAGTGGTGGCCAAAGGCATGAATTATTGGCTGGGCCCGAGGGATGAGAAAGGGCTCCATAGAGAAAGGGTGGAAGTTCAGTTATCTCTTACAGCATGAGTGAGAGTTGCCAGGTATCACAGTGGACTGTGCCTTCCAACAGCTACTAAATTCCAAAAGTGACAAACAGCACAGAGTGTTTAAGGACTCAGGAACAGTTAGGCAGGCCTACTGGCCAGCTGGAGAAATCATCTCCATCAGGTCTTGTGAGCTCCACAAAGGAATGTGGACTTTATCTTATTGCCACAAGGTACTTTTGTAAATGTTTAAATAGGGAAATGACCTGAAGATAATAATAGCTAACACTTACAAAGGACTTACTGTGTGTCAGGTATAATAGTGATATAAGATAAGTTCTATTATAATTCCCATTTTATAGATGATGAAACTGGAGCTCAGAGCAGTTAAATAACGAGTTATCAAACAGCTGGTAAGTAGGTAGTGCTGGGATTTGAACCTAGAACCCATGCGCCCTCTCTTGAGGCCACACAATACCACCTATCATGTTATTTATGCCTCAATTTCTGAGATTTCTTCTAGCCTGAAGTTAGAGACTTAATCTTATTTATCTTTATATCCGCACAGTGCTGCTGCCGCCAAACATAATGCCTCACTCAGCCTTGAGCACATATCAGCTGCCTCTTCACTTTCTCCCACCATGAGTTGGAGAAACACAGGTCCAAAACTTTACTATTCTCTGGGATTCTCTGGGAATCTCTGTAGTTTAAGAGTTGACTCTCTGCACTGTTTTGTGTTAAAAACACAAAGGAGTGTTTTTAAAACTTTCCTAAGCTCCAGAACCATCATCTGTAGAATGGGAATTATAAATTACCTACCACAGGAATCACTTAATTAGGAGCTGGCATAGTGTATGCATTCAATAAATGACGTTTTTATTATAGGCAGAAGTACCAAATGGCCTAACGGATGTGGAAATAGTGTTGCTAAAATACTTCCTCAAAAAATATGTATGTTCCAGTTTAAAAGAAATCTTGGGGCAGTGTGGAGGGTGGTTTGGAGTGGGACAGCCTAGAGGTAGAGAGATTAGAAGACTGAGATGATCAAGGCAAAAATGACAGGATTACAACACAATAGCAGGGGGCAAGGCGCCTGAGAGTAAAAGAACAAAAGACTGAGGTAACCCTAGTAGATCTTAAGAAGGATGTCAATCACTGCAAGCCTCAGTTTTCCCATGTATTATGTATGGATTCTACTGCTTCACAGCTCTATTCTTTGGATTTAAAGTGATATATTAATTAGACATTTTGTCATTCATTCAGCAAATATTTATTGTGTCTTTTCCATGGGCCAGGCAGTGTTGTATGTGCTGGAGATAGAAAATATCTGCCCTGGTGGGATTTAACCCCAGTGAGGGTGGAAAGCAACAATGCTATGGAGAAATATAGGGAAGGAGAGTCAGAGTGTTGCAGAGATTGCAATGTTAAGTAGAGTTATCTGGATCGGCTTTCCTGAGTCACTGATACTGGAGTAAAGAAGGAAATAAGAGGGTTATCGTGTGTGTATCTGAGGCAAGGGCATCTTAGCAAAGGGCATAGCAACAGTAAAGATGCTGAAGTGGGAGAATGCCTCTCCTCACTCAAGGAACAAACAGTACAGAGTAGGCGGAGAGACTGGAGAGAGGCCAGACCTGACAGATAGAGAGTCGATCTATAGAACCTTCTATGCCGTGGTAATGACTTTGGCTTTCACTTGACGTGCGGTAGGAAGTCTGTGGAGGATTTCGGATGACGAGTGATATGATCTAATTTACATGTTAAGATCATCACTGTGTCCACTTTACTGAGGACTGTGTAGAGAACAGACTGGAGGAAGAATGGTGAGGAGGAGAATACAGCAAGAAGGTTGAAAGCAACAATGGTCAGGACCAGGTTATAGAGGTACAGGTGATGAGAAGGGGTGGATTCTGGGTACATCTTGAAAGTACAGCTGATGGAATGTGAGGTGGTGAGGGAAAGATGAGTCAAGGAAGAGTTAACAGAGATGAGGAAGAGGGAAGAAGAGCAGTTTTGGAAAAGGAAGACCAGGAGCTTGTTCGGGGCTATATTAACTTTCAGATACTTTTTAAATGTCAAATTAATTTTGACATTAATGTCAAAAGTAATTGACATTAATGTCAAATGTCAAAGGAATTTTCAAGTACGGCATGTGAATGTATGTATGGAGGTCAAGGAGGGATTATTATTGTGCCATATATTATATATATGGTGGTACCAAGTCTTCTCCAAAATCCTCTATTTACAGTGGAAAAGGAAACTTTTAAGATTCAAAATGAGTAATAAGTTTTAGAAAATCTTCCACCAAAAACATTTTTATACTATGGTCACTTAGAGGGTTGAGCTTCAATTATCAGGATTTCTCAATCTCCAACAAATCCAGAAGGATGAGTTATTACTGCCATTATGTGGGCATGTGTAGTCTGGCCATTTTGCATACCCTTCCAATTCAGTTTTCAAAATGTAGTCATGATTAGTCAAATTTGGACTCTTTGGAATCTACATCTTTCTTCATCAGCCTGGTGGTCTTTGAGATCTTAATAAGCAGAATGCAAGAGATCTACCTTAGAATGTAGATGATATCAATAAAAACTGAGCAAAATGCTATTTCAAATTGTTCATGTGCAATTAAGTAAAAGACAGTAAAGTAAAAATCACTGAATCCTTACCATTTAAGAGAGTACTATAATGTCTTCCTTCTTATAACTGAAGAAATGATCACATGTAGCTAGGAAGACCATGGTGCTAAAGAGCATTAGCAGAGTGTGCAGAAAGATTGTACTAGTAGCAACGCAGAAATGCGTAAGACAATGTCCCTGTCCCAGGCCACACACAGTTTGGAAGAAAAAATATTTCTCTACCTCTAGTTCAAAGCAACCCCATGTCTAAGTACTATAGGTCATTTTGATTCTCTGCTTTTTCAGTTTTTAGTGAAAATGAATTCCTTTGCCTAAATCCTAAACCATTAATGCTGTCAGACCTAAAATAAATGCTATCAGAGCTAAAAGAAATACAAGATCGGCCAGGCGCGGTGACTAATGCCTGTAATCCTAGCACTCTGGGAGGCAGAGGCGGGAGGATCACTCAAGTACAGGAGTTTGAAACCAGCCTGAGCAAGAGCGAAACCCAATCTCTACTAAAAATAGAAAGAAATTAATTGGCCAACTAAATATATATAGAAAAAATTAGCCAGGCATGGTGGTGCATGCCTGTAGTCCCAGCTACTCTGGAGGCTGAGGCAGAAGGATCACTTGAGCCCAGGAGTTTGAGGTTGCTGTGAGCTAGGCTGATGCCACGGCACTCTAGCCCGGACAACAAAGTGAGACTCTGTCTCAAAAAAAAAAAAAAAAAATGTCTATGGCCATACCACCCTGAATGCACATGATCTCTTCTAATCTCAGAAGCTAAGCAGAGACAGGCCTGGTGAATCAGAGTTGGGCCTGATTATACTTGGATGGGAGAAATGTAAAATATGTCAGATCTTCAAAAAAAGTTAGTGATCAGATTTTTTACAAGAATTTTTGAAAGGGATTTTAAAAATTAAAAACAGATCATTCTTAAGTAAAAAATGGTACTCTCTTAGAATGTGACAGTTATACCGATGGGAATATTAGAAGAATTAAGAGTGTGAACAATGAAAATGTATCAAGTAATTTGGTCTTTTCGGAAGAAAGCACTCCATTAATATCAAGTTGTGTCTCTCTGTGTACTAATTCTCTGTGGAACTGCACAGTGCAACCAGATCCACCCATTGGCCTCAACTGGACTTTACTGAACATCAGTTTAACCGGGATTCATGCAGATATCCAAGTGAGATGGGAACCACCACCCAATGCGGATGTTCAAAAAGGATGGATAGTTCTGGAGTATGAACTTCAATACAAAGAAGTAAATGAAACTCAATGGAAAATGGTAAGATGTCACTACATCTTATACTTTGATATTTCTTTCAATTTCAACAACCCGTCTCTCACTTATGATTAGACTTCCTTTTGACCTAATACCACATGCCCATGCTCCCTAATTTTTTATTTGAGGGAAAACTGATCTAATCATTAAAATGTCATCTTGGAATTCTGTAAGACAGGAGATGCTTATAGAAGCCTGTGGAAGGAAAGGAAAACTGTTTCCCCAGTCATTCTTAGTGTCCAGTTTAACTTTATAGCCAAATTATAGACTAGCCACTTAGCTTTCTTTGGGGATGTGGCTAAACATGGGAAGGGTTATGATCAAGGTCAGCAGTGGACCATGGCCAAATATTTTCCCATGATTTTAATTGCTGCTACTCACAAGACTTCCCCATTAAAATAAGTTCACAAGTGACTACAGATGGGAGACAGAGGGAGGGAACTTAATCCATTAGAGGTTTCAGAAAGATACTTTGTTACATATCTCAGAGAAGAATCAAGCTAAGGGGTTCTTACCGAGGCAAGTAGAGAGCATGGTACTGGTTGATCTCTGAACCCCCTACTTCTTACAAAGTGTATGGGAACTTAGCACTTAGATAAATTCCACTTGGCACATAACAAGAAGAAAAACAGGATTATCATGCTGCTCCCAATATAACTAATTCTAAATCTGTCTAACCACAGCCACAGCCACAGCCCTAGCCAAGCCTAGTGGTTGCTGGCCAGTTGTCAGGTGGTGCCCAACAGCCTGGCACTGCTTACTCCCAGAATTTTAAGACACCAGGCCCTGTCCATTCAGTGAACCACTGAAAAAGAAGCCAATTTTGTCATTAGAGGAAAGTTAAGTTTGGAGCAGCTTTGAACAGTTACAATGCTGGGCTTTGAGGTTCTGTTTTCTGAATCACTTTAATTTAGATATCTAAATTAAATATCTAAATCTAATATCTAAATCTGTTCTGCAACATGTTGCAAAATAATTCTGGTTGAATGCTAAGTCAAACAAGACTTTCTAAATCCAAGCTACAATCAAACATTTATGCAGCAACCAGGTATTGAAATAAGTGCTACTACTGTGCACGAGGCACTGTGCTTGGTACCTGGAGCAGCAGTTCTCAAAGTATGGACCATGGACCCCTGTGGCTCCCTAACACCCAGGGAATCCACAAAGTCAATACTATTTTCACAATATACTAAAATGTTATTTCCATTTTTCACTGAATTGACAGTTACACTGACGATATAAAAGCAATGATGGGGAAATGCTGGCACCTTAGCATGAATCAAGGCAGTAGTACCACACTTTACTAATAGTCATTGTATTCTTTACCCCCATGTATTCACAGCGAAGAAGTGGGGAAAAGCCAGTTTCGTACATGAATGTGCTTGATGAAGCTGTAAAAATTATTAATTTTATTAAATCTCAACCTTTGAGTACACAGCTTACTAATATTCTGTCTGTGTGACACATGGGAAGTACACATAAAGCACTTCTGCCTACTGAGGTAATCACGTTTGTCTTGAAGAAAAGCACTTAAAAGACTTGAGTTGTCAGCTGAACTAGCTGCTTTCTTTGCATGGAACACCATTTTTACTTGAAAGAACTACTGATAAACTGATAGATGGTTACTCATGTTTGACATGGCAAACATGTCTCAAAAAAGAATGAAATGATCTTGTCACTTCAAGAAAAACAACTGATAGTCTTTGTTGCCAGTGAAAAACTTTGACCTTTGAAGGGAAAATTAGAATGTTGGAAAGCTAATATCTACTATAGCTTTTTGCTTTGTGGTTATCATGAGGCTTACATAAAATATCTGATAGTGATAACAGGTTATTTTAAGCTGATAACAATTTAACTTTGTTGCATACATATAGTTTTACTCCACCTATCCCCAAACACATTTTAAATTTTCAAGTCACATGTACATCTTTTTTATTATAGCTATTATTATTTTGAATAGTTTCATCTTTTAACTATCATACTAAAGCTATAAGTGATTTATATGCCACAATTACAGTATAGAGTATCCTAAATTTGAAGTACTTAACCTTTACCAGTGAGTTGTATACATTCATATGTTTATGTATTTATATAATTAACATCCTTTTCTTTCAACTTGAAGAACTCCTTTTAGTATTTCTTATAAGACAGGTCTTAGAGGTGAGGAATGGTGAATTTTAACGTAACAAAGTACTAAAAGTTTATTGATGGAGTTTCAGATTTCCCATTTCAATGAACCTTTAAGAAATTACCATTTGAGTTTTGGTGTAATGTTAAAGACGGACTTTCATAATTATCTGAAAAGGTTACTAAAATAATCCTCCTTTTTCCCACTATAGACCTGTGTGAGGCCAGATTTTATTCATATACTCAACCAAAACAACACATTCTAACAGATTTAATTCAGAAGTAGATATAAAAATACAGCAGCCATGTTCTGTTAAGTATGACATTGAACAGATTTGCAAAAATGTAAAACAAATAGGGAACAACGAGACACGCGCCAGGTGCTCAACGCCTGTAATCCTAGCACTCTGGGAAGCCGAGGCAGGTGGATCGCTCGAGGTCAGGAGTTCGAAACCAGCCTGAGCAAGAGCGAGACCCCATCTCTACTAAAAATAGAAAGAAATTAATTGGCCAACTAATATATATAGAAAAAATTAGGCAGGCATGATGGCGCATGCCTGTAGTCCCAGCTACTCGGAGGCTGAGGCAGCAGGATTGCTTGAGCCCAGGAGTTTGAGGTTGCTGTGAGCTAGGCTGATGCCATGGCACTCACTCTAGCCTGGGCAACAAAGCGAGACTCTGTCTCAAAAAAAAAAAAAAATGTAAACAATGTCACTCTTCTCATTCTAATTTATCCTGTTTTGTAAAGTACAATAATTTTTACAAAAATATATTATTTATTTTAACAAAATCAATTTATTATTTTAATTTTTCAAATTAGCACTTTAAATTTGTTCATTTTCAGTTTTTAATATGGCAAATAGGAATAGGTATAACCAAATGAAACCACAATCTTTAGGATTCTTAATAATTTTTAGCAGTGTAAAGGAATCCTGAAACAAAACATTTTGACAACCTAGATTAAACAAGGATATAAATTAGCATGTTAGCATTCATAGATTCAATGATCATAGTTCCAACCCTGAAAATCCATGGCATGTATTTATGGCACCACTATGAATCTTACACCCTGAACCAGGTTCCTGGGAGCCTGTGAGTCCACCAACCAACTGGTCAGGGCTGCATCTCAACATGACTTTGTTGCACATTTCATGGCACTCTTGCTAAATCTCAGATAATCTAAAGGGATCAGTTAACTTTTCCTTTACTCACCTTTTATTCATTTTATTTATAAATTTGGTCATTTGTAAGGGTCTTGGACAGTTCTTACGAATATTAGCCATTTATCTGTAATAATTGGCTTATATCTTGAAGAAACTCACAATATAATTGGTTATTGAGCACAAGCATTATAATAATAAAAGGAAAAGAGGTTTGTAAGCAGAGGGGGAAAAGCTAGTAATTTTTGCTTGTATTAGAAATTCATGTTACCATTTGACAATATGAATTTGGTGTGCCTTTATCAGTGTGCCTTTTTTATTGAATACATTTTTCATGTAATAGTTATGACTATGTAGTTGTTTGCAACTATTTTCCTACTAAATCAATAACATTTTTTTAAAGACTTTATGGGTGGCATGGAAATTATTCACTGTGTTTGAGCCATATCTTGAGTACCCACTGTATACCTGGTATTGTACTGGGCTTTCAAAATACAAAATAATGAGTTTCTTCAGGGAATTTACAATGTAATATAGAAAGATGTATGTAATTAAATTTGAGCAGTGAAATATAATTAGTTATAGAAGAAGTGTATCCTATGGCAGGGTGAAGTGGGGGAAAGTGCCAGAGAAGACATAATATCAGCAATCCTCAACTCTTGCACAGAATTGGGTGAGGAATAGGTACCCCTACACAGGCAGGTGGGAAAGTTGGGTACAGTGGGAGCCATGTGAGAAAATTTAAGTTTGGTGTGGCTAGTGTGGAGGACTGGGGGACAATGGAAAGGGTGGCACCCGTTGAATCACTGATGGCCCTTTTTTGGTTCTGTTATTAGTGAAATCTTTAAATAAATAGTATTGGTGACAATAACAGAGTAATAAGGGCTTCAAAATGGAGATATAGGCTTTTAAAATATTTTAAGAAAAATTATAATATCCATAATCCTGCCTTATAAAAGGCATTTTAGGCATCAATATATTCCATATATTCAGAGACTACTATAAAATATAGAAGTAAAACATCTCATGTACACATGGGGGGAAAAGTTACTTTGTGAGTAGAAACTAACTGAGGGAGAAAGAAAAATTTGTTTTAGAAGCTGAAAGCCCAGCTGCTGACTTAATAAAACAAATTATGAGAAATTTATTTACATGAAAATTCATGCTATTAGAAAAAAAATGAGTGTTCCAAGTTTTCTATAAACGGGAACAAGATGTTCTACCCAAAAATATATGAAAAGCACATTGAATACCTGCTTTGAGTATTTGACTTGGAGGAAAACATCCTCACTAGGTGTGTCTACTGCTTTGATAGCAATATGTCTTAAAAGTCTAATTGTCTCACTCTACCCTTTCCTGGGAAGGTAAAGAATATCCTGCCCTTAAGTGTTGTGAGACCCTGATGTTCATTACCAAAGGTAAAAGTCCAGTGACTTTTCTTGCCAATTTTAAATAGCAAACTATTTTGATGTTGTTTTAAGCCTATTAGAGCAAGGAGATTAGGTATGTTGCTTTTAATAAAATTATCTGAAAGTTCAATAAAGACAACTATGATTTTTCCAGGACCCTTTATAATTCTGTGATTATATGAATAGTTACCCAGAATTTCCACAGAACACAGATATATTAATAGAACTTGCTATGGCTATAATTTGTTTTGGTGTGGAATACGTTTGTTTTTTCTATTCTTATGTCTCCTCTTACACAAAACTGTAATATCCCAGATATGTAGGTGACATATCTGTAGCCATCTTCATAGTTCTGACATTCATAATAATTCTATTATGCTTTAATCTTGGTATATCTGGCAACCTAATGCAAAGATATAGCTGTATTTCTTTAAGCCAGTCTGTCATATCTTTGGCTTTATAACGAAGAAAATTTGAGGTCTATTATCCATTTAACAAAATAGTTATGTAATTATTTGCCTCCGTCTTCCTATAAATAGGAAATTCTCACAATGCATTTTAACTCTCACAATGCGTTACCCACTTTATAGAAATCCATTCTGAATACAAGTGGGGGAACTTCCATAGAGTTTATTTATTGAGTGGTTGAGTCTCTAGCCAATAAGCTTTTATATTTTGTCTTGAAAGATGGACCCTGTCTTGTCAACATCAGTTCCAGTATACTCGTTGAGACTGGATAAAGAATATGAAGTGCGTGTGAGATCCAGACAACGAAACTCTGAAAAATATGGCGAGTTCAGTGAGATGCTCTATGTAGCACTTCCTCAAATGAGCCCATATGCATGTGAAGAAGGTAAAAAAATAAGATTAAAATGGCAGCTAACATGGCTTTTGTTAATATAAAAGTTGATACGCTATCAGCGTGTTGTCCAGATCAAGATATATAAACATCAATTATCAGAGTGTGAGAGCACAAGCTCACTATCTGTAGCACATATTATCCATTGCAGAAGCAGGAGGATTTAGTTTCTGAATTATTTAATTCAGGGAAAGTCCTGGAGTAGGAAGTTTAGAGATGGGAAAATGGTGGTTATCTATGGATAGTGGAATTTCAGGTGATTCTTTTTTCTTTTTATATTTCTATATTTCTAAAATGTTTAACAATGAGTCTGTTTTGAATTTATAATCAGAAATAAATGTTTTTCTAATGGCTAGGGAAGAAAGTCTGTATCTATATAGATGGATGTGTATGTGGTATGTAAGAAAAGCCTAATAATGAGTCAGCATAGGTAGTCAATGGCAAGTGTTTATTGGTTTTAGAAAATAGAGGTGTGGCTTTTACCTAGAGAAAGGCCTAATGAATAGTGTCAGGCTCAAAGGAGATGTGGAACATCTGAAGACCCCATGTAAGAAAACCACAAAAATAATTAAAACTTGTTAAATTGAGACCTATGAATTCAGAATAAAAGAATTAAAACTTTTAGATACTGAAATAAAGAAAAGTGATTCATAATGAGCAGTAAATATGTAGTACTACGACTCATCCTTCTCAAATGGAAATTGGCTATAGCCCATCTTCATTGAAAACAGAAAGTTTTATAGGGCCATATGAGGAGTTAAGGTTTATTAATAAAACAGTCACAAGCTACAGAGAAATTAAATTTATATTTCTGCATTTACTATGCAAATAGAATCTCGTGATACTAAATAACACTTTGGTGAAAATTTTTATAGCACCATCTTTTCTAAACTCAAGATAACCGGCTTCTTATTTCGGAATTCTGGTTTAAAAAGTACAATTTCCACATGCCCTTTAAGCTTAATATGGTGGCATTTAATTCATGTAACATAGATTCTTTTTAAACTGGCTTTTCCTTCCATGTTAAAAGAATAAAGAAGCGGCAGCTGTAGCTTTATGTTATGCTCTTAGATATTCATTGATATAATATTATAGATACCACAAAATGGTATTCTTTCCCCTACTAATCCTTTAAAATGCCCATAATATCTCCTTGGGGGATTTTAATAATTATTAAATAAGAAAAGACTATTACAGCATAAAAGCCTACTCTTAAACAAGCAATGTCAAGGTAAATCCCACCTGTTTTTTTTTTAATTAAAAAATGATTAGCCTCTGCCACTGTGGTAAGAATTTTGGCAACAAACTGCAAGGTAGTTGGGAGGCACTTATTCTTAAGAAATGTAGTAGAAGTTTTACAAACAGATTCCCCCAAGAGTCCCCCAAGTCCGATAACAGAGTATACTAAAACCTGAAGATGGGAACCTCAGTGGTGATCTTTCTGCCAAGGATACATACGAGCATATAAAAATGTTATTAGCTTAGTAATTTAATTTATAAATATATATTTAAAGCTGAAAATATATGTTCCACATTTCTAAGAAGTTTCTGTCATGATTCATAAATAAAACATCTGCCCCTATCTTTTGAAGAGATCCTCAATCTGGAGGCTAAAAATATCACTACACTTTAAAAAAAAAAAGAAACAAGTTATTTCGGTAGTATGTTAACGAATAACACCTTTTTACTAGAGCCGAAACCTTTGATGATACTCTCTGGGTACATAAGATGCTTAAAGCAAGTTATTTTGTTTAATATGCATTGTGTTTGAACTATATTTTGAAAAATATTTTTATGTGAAAAACAAAAGTGAAATGTAAACTTTGCTTCACCTATTCATAATTCTGTGAGTGAAATATTCTTGTGTGTTTCAGATTTCCAGCTTCCGTGGTTCTTAATTATTATCTTTGGACTATTTGGGCTAATGATCATTCTATTTGTAATTGTATTTTCTAAACAACAAAGGTAGGTATGAAATAGTCTTCTTTATATATTTTTGCCAGTTGTCTAGATTTCCATGTGTGTTTCCATTTGTTATTTGATATTTTCTTTTGTAAATTATGAGTGGAAATTTTAATTAACCCAGTAAACTTTTATCTCCAGTTATACATGTATCATTTATATAAAACTCAATTCATTGTATTCATCACAGAAAACTTACATGTTTAGATTCTATCTGGGAAGTTGTACAGGACATTAAGAGGCTTAGGCTGATGACTAAGCACACCTTGTAATATGCACCTCTTTATACAAGTCCTCAACATTCATTCCAGAACCCGAAGCTTTCACCGAGCCTTCGGTTGAGTCTGATGCCATCCTTATATACAGGCAAATTTTAGTGGCAAACTAAAGGTACTTACATAATTCAAATAAAACCTTTTTAGATTTCACATGATGATGATTTCAAGTAAATTCATGTTTTATTCAAAATATTAGTATTTGGATATTTATGATTTTATATTTTATCTGTATTTGTAAATACAAATAAAATTCTTTCTAAGTTGGAAGATATTCCATTCTGCATTCTCTTGGAGTCAATAAACATGAGTTCCAATTCTTATTTTGCCACTATTTTTTTGATCTTGCTTGAGTCCCTTAACCTCTTTGGACCTCCGTATGCTCTTGGATAATATGAGGGTGTGGGTTATATGAACTTTACATTTCCCTGTAAATGTGGGATGCTATTATTCTGTTTTTCTTCCTGAAAGAAACATAGTACACACTACAGGAAAATTTTTTATACAAAATATAGGACAAGTGATTGGGACAAATTGCCAGTTTCTTACATTTAGGGTATTTTTTTTAAGTCCCTGGGTAAATTTTTCTCCTTCTCCTAGAATTGAGTGACTAACTCTCTCAGGTTGCCTGAGACTCTTCTGGTTTTAGCACTGCAAGTTCTGTGTCACTGGAAATCTTTCACTTCCAGGCAATCAGGCGAGTTAGTCACCTGACCTAGAATTGAAAACAAGTACTCCAACTAAAGCCAAGAGAACCAATAAATCAAAATGGGATACATGGGCATATAGTGTAAAAGCTTTTAATTTGTTTTTTGAGATAGTACAGCATTTGTAAACTTTCAAATAGTATTTCATTAGCAAGAAGACTTCTTGGAATACTAGAGTTCTAGAGTGTCAAGCATGCTAAAAATCTGCAACTGAGTGCAGAAAGGATTGTTTTCAGTAGAGTTTCACATCCAATTTTCTAATGTAAATGAATGGGAAAGCAAAATTCACTCTGCAGAATTTTATTTTCTACCTAACTTTCTAGCAACATTACTATTTTATAAAAACAACTGTTGTTATTAATCACTATAACACAGTTTTCAGTTGTTTGGGGAAAATAAATAAATAAATATATTTTTAGAATTTTAAGTAATTTCTGTATTTACTTACTACCAACAACAAAAGGGCCAAATTGTGTGATTTGTATTTAACTCATACTAGTTTCGAGCCCAGGGGCTCTTGAAGCATATATAACTCACACATCTCTTCACCTTGGGAGCCGCAAGAACTAGTTTTCAAGTTGCATATAACTCACACATAGAAAACAATAAAAAATAACAAATTTTTATTGTTAAAAATTATTGTTTTAAATTAGAAAGGATTGTTTTGTTTTTGTAGTTCTTATTCTATTTTTGTAATAAAACACCCTGGCCCCAAGGAAAAAAATGATTTTTTTAGGTCTGTCAGTCAATGTGTTAATTATTGAAATAAAAAGGTTATTGATTTGGTTAGAAGATCAAAATAAGCATAACATTCCTATTAGCCTAGTGTTGATACAACATTAGGTGAGTGTTAACCTTTAATATTCTTTTTTGAAATTTCTCCTATCTCCTATCTAAACTTTTTATATGAGTTTATTTTTATGTTCTGTTTGTTTGAATTGAAAGAAAGAGCACAATAATTTCTGTAACTTTTTATTACAGTGCAGAGGTATTATTATTATTGCAATATTACACTGTAATATACAAGCCAACCTAAAGACATTCTCAGAAACATATCTCATCGTAACCTGAGGACGGCCTATGATTTGTATTTAAATACAAAGTCATAAACGTAGTTTCACGATAGCAAAGTCACAAATGTAGTTTTAAGCCGGGTAATCTTTACTCTATATTGGTTCCCACCATAAAACCCACCCAACCTTAGAGCTATTACTAATTGAGGAAAGAAATAGCTGAATCAGCATAAAACAGAAGTTGCAAACTGAAAGATGAATTCACTCTGCAGATCAATGTTTTCTTGTATTATTTCACTTAGTTTTTGGTTTTGGAGTAAAGATTTTGCTATAATGTGTTTACAAAATAGAGAGTTTTTGCAGATTTCTGGATTATCTTTTAAAACTAAAAGATATACTGAAACTAGAGTGATGTTCCCACACGGCAGTATGTGTTGAAGTGGAGAACCAGCTGTTTCATTTGGGAAGGGTATACATTCTTCAGTTTGCCACCATCTTCATTCCTCCTGATGACATTGCAATTGGCCTGCTTCATTCCCATGCATGACCTGCTTGGGTCCTTTAGGTTTGAAGATCTGCCACTGTGGCATAAAGACACTACTGCTCCTAGAAAACCAGTAACATATGCCTACATGCATCATCCTCTTCAAAAAGTAGAGACACACAGGACAAAGTCAAATTTTAGCCATTTGGCAATTTTTGCTTCTTGTAATTAGGGTTTTGTTACATCTTTTTAAGTTTTTGAAAATTTGAAATAGGCATTTAGTGATATAGAACTAAATAACACAGCAGCATGACAGTCAAAGAGCCCACGTTTTGGAGTCAGGTTCTGTGGATTGAGCCCCAGCTGTGCCAAGTATTAGTGCATTAATTGAACGTGTTTCTTAATTCTCCGAATCTTTGCATATATAATATCATCTGCCTCCCTGATAGTTACAAGGATTAAATGAAATATTTAGTGCAGGTGTCAAAAAACTTGTTTTATAAGGAGTCAGTAAATTTGGAGGCTTTTTGACCCATGCAGTCTCTGTCACAACTACTCAACTTTGCCACTATGGCATGAAAGCAGCCATAGACAATATATAAATGAATGAGGATGCTTGTGTTCCCATAAAACTTATCTACAAAAACAGGTGGCTGGCCAGATTTGACCTGCAAGACCGAATTTTCTGATCCTTAGTTTAGTGCAAAGTATATCCCACAATGTCTGATTTATCAGAAGCATTCAAAAATGGCAGTTATTAATAGCTTATAGTATTTATTTCTACATCTTCTATTAATTAGTAACAATGTGTGCTAACATTGAATAAGCATAGTAGAGGTGGCTCAAATTTGGCTTATTCCTTGGATTAGGTATAATGGCAGATGGAAATATTCAGAGAATTTGTTCCTTATTGAATAGACTAGACACTGATATTCAAAAATCAGGTTACCATCTCTGCCCAACAGTGGCATCTCTAAACACTTAGGAGTTTTTTATTTTAACAATAAAATGAGTTGGTTGGAATGTATAGTCTCAGAGCTTTTTTCCAGAGCTGCAATGTTGATCTTGAAATGTAAATTCCAGTAACAGTAATGAACAAAATAAATGATTCATTCAGATTTATTCATGAAATGTTTATTGAGCACCTTCCATGTGCCATGAATTATGCCAGTGCTAGGTATACGGGAAGGCACCAGACAGGCAGGATAGACATTGAAATGAATTACAGCCAAAAATAAATATTAGGAACAGAAAATGTAAATAATTCATAGAATTCTGTATATAAATCCATGCTGATTAGTTAGAGATAGTTCAAATTTAGTCTGTCTCATCTGAAATGAACCCTGCAGTAACACTCTGGTTGATGAGGTCATTTTGGATAATGTTATAATTCATGTGAACCGTGTAGTGCTGTTTCATCCCAGTCTACTCTTTTACAAGAGTGTGAATAATTTTGGCTCCATGTGGATTGGCTCTTTCTTCTTTCTTTTCTCTACAAAATAGTGATGAGATGTAGGTTAAAATTGCCTTCCTTATAACTGACATGAAAATTGGCTTCAGATGGAATTAAATTTCTGACTCCCAAATACTAAAGTTGGTTCTCAATAAGAAGCATTAAGAAAAAAAAAAAAAGATTATGGGAAAACCACATTTTATTTAAGTGCACTTCAGATGAGGGCTTTTCTGTTATTCTTTTTCTTTCTTCTACAATTTTTCTTTATCGTATACTGCTTAATATTTTCCTTCTCTTTTTCATATTCCAATTATATAAAGTAGTAGAATATCTGGATTAATAGTATTGCCAATATTTTATTTCTTTTTAAATAAGAGAGTGTGTAACTTTTAAGATATGTCAAACCAAAATTTTATTTGTTTTGAAGGATTAAGATGCTGATTCTACCCCCAGTTCCAGTTCCAAAGATTAAAGGAATAGATCCAGATCTCCTCAAGGTAATTAATAAATCTATCTAAATTTTAGATAGCACTAAGTGACACCTGAAGAATATTGTCATATGTTGAATGTTTTTTGCAAGCTGTAGATATCACATTTGATTTTTTTTGTACCCCATCTCCTGGAGAAATTTTTTAAAATATTACACCTCTTAAAACTATGAAAATGTATGTATTTAAGAGTCCTACACTAATTTACTTTTTGTTATTATATGTTCTTGTTACTGTTGTTCTTATTGTAACCATAATTTAATCTCTGAATGTTATTTGCCCAATCACTCAATCATTATGAGTTTCTTTTCATAAATCTTTATTTTCTTTCTGTTTCCTAGGAAGGAAAATTAGAGGAGGTAAACACAATTTTAGCCATTCATGATAACTATAAACCTGAATTCTACAATGATGACTCTTGGGTTGAATTTATTGAGCTAGACATTGATGACCCCGATGAAAAGGCTGAAGGATCAGACACAGACAGACTTCTAAGCAATGACCATCATAAATCACTTAATATCCTAGGGGCGAAGGATGATGACTCTGGACGTACCAGCTGTTATGAACCTGACATTCTGGAGACTGATTTCAATGCCAGTGACATGTGTGATGGTACCTCAGAGTTTGCTCAGCCACAGAGATTAAAAGGGGAAGCAGATCTCGTGTGCCTTGACCAGAAGAATCAAAATAATCCACCTTACTCTGACGCTTCCCCTGCTACTCAGCAGCCCAGTGTTGTGCTAGCAGAGGAAATCAAACCACGACCATGTCTTGTTGGAACTGAGTCAACTCATCAAGCTGCCCATAGTCAGCTAAGCAATCCAAGTTCACTGGCAAACATTGACTTTTATGCCCAGGTGAGCGACATCACACCAGCAGGGAGTGTGGTCCTTTCTCCGGGCCAAAAGAATAAGGCAGGGATATCCCAGTGTGATGGGCATCCAGAAGTGGTCTCACTCTGCCAAGCAAATTTCATCATGGACAACGCCTACTTCTGTGAGGCAGATGCCAAAAAGTGCATCGCAGTGGCCCCTCACATTGAGATCGGATCCCACGTAGAGCCAAGCTTTAACCAGGAGGACATTTATATCACCGCAGAAAGCCTTACCACTACTGCTGGGAGGTCTGGGACAGCAGAACGCGCTCCAGATTCTGAGATGCCTGTCCCAGACTATACCTCCATTCATATAGTACAGTGTCCACAGGGCCTCATACTCAACGCGACTGCCTTGCCCTTGCCTAACAAAGAGTTTCTCTCATCGTGTGGCTATGTGAGCACAGACCAACTGAACAAACTCATGCCATAGCCTCTCTTTGATTTCCTAAGAGCTACGTATTTAATGGCAAAGAATTGGCTAGGGTATGAATGCTTAAACCAAATCAATGTTTAAACCCTTTTGGGGGTTGCAGGATGGGAGGGTGAGGTGTGGATTCTAAATGCCTTTTCCTGAAATATTGAAACATGATATTAAAAAGAAAAAATAAGAAGAATGCTTAATTGGATAGATATTACTATTATGAATTGTAAATATTTTAAATAATTGTCTCAAAGACTGTTTAGTGGCAGTGATTGTCTTGTTATTGTGGGTGTTAATTTTGTGATACTAAGCATTGAATGGCTGTGTTTTTAATGTATAGTAAATCATGCTTTTTGAAAAAGCAAAAAATCAGGTGGCTTTTGCAATTCAGGAAAAATGAATGCAAATCATAGCACAGGCTAATTTTTTTCTTTTTTAAATAATTGGAAACTAAAACTATAGGTAAGAAGGCAAAAATAGTTTGAATATTTAAAACATTTATTTTGACATGAAATTGATAAAGATATTTTTAATAATTTAGATTTCAAGCATGGCTATTTTATATTACACTAAACACTGTGTACTGTAGTTCATGATTACCTATCTAAGGAATGTAACAACTACAGTCTAAAGCTGGTTTAATGTTTTTGTCAATGAACCAAAAAAAAACCAATATAAGTTAGTTTTTTACAAGGCCTTTTATACCTCTCCAAACTCCTTAAACAATTCTAAAATGCTGTAGCAACCTGCATTATTGGAACATACTTATTTTATCTGAATTTTTAAACAGATATTTGTTAATTTAGAAAACCTTAAAATATTTGCACAGATCAACTGACCATGAACCAAAAACAGCAAAAGCAAAAAAAAAAAACTTTCTTCAACAAATTTTGGTTCATGCCAAAGAGCTATATGCTAAGAGAAGTAGAAGTTATAGCTGGTTCATCTTGACCAGGATGCTAAAGTGTTGCAGTTGCTCGTGGAGCAAGTTTTTTAGTGTGCACAGATGATAAGAAACTCTATAACCTATAAATACAGTGGAATTTCTACAAACCCAACTGGGTTTTATTTCATAGTTACCTAAGAAGGGAATAAGGTACAAGAAGTATTTTGTAAGTTGAAGCAGGTTGAATGAAGTTAACCAGGTAATGGAAGGAAGAGCTCAAGAAATAGATTTTTGTTTTACAGCCTATAACCAGACATTTTCATGTTAACGAGGGACAAAAGAAACAAGGATTCCAATCCCCACAGATAACTCAAAATTATTTAAACCAATAAGAGAAATTTTCTTTCTCACCAAACCTTTTATACAATTTATTTAAAATAATAAAAGGAGTTTTATCATTTTTTATTTCCTCTCCAAAGCAGTCAATTAGAAGAAAAAGAAGGTGCCTGAGTAATTTATAAATTATTTTCTAATCCCTTAATATCCTAACCATCATTCTTAGGAACATTGGGATAGCTTCCAAAAGATTTGTGATAGAGAGAAGAATAATCTCATCTCACTGAAAAATATTTCTCATTTTTTTAAAAAGCTTAAAACTTTGAAGTTATCTTTAACTTAAATAGTATTTGCCATTTAGCTCCGACCTTTTCAGGAAACAAGCTTAATGGGTTGGTAATTTTAAATTCCCTCTTTCTTTCAGGAAGGACTATGAAAGGCTAGAATCGGGTCTTTAAAGTTCAATATGTTACTTTGTATAATAATAGATGTTTAATAGATTTTCTGCTACCTTGCTGCTATGGTTTTCTCCAAGAGCTACATAATTTAGTTTCATATAAAATATCATCAGTGTAGAACCTAATTCAACTTAAAGCTGTGTGTTTGGAAGAACTATCTTACTGTTTCACAATAGGCTGACAACATTTCTATAGCCAAAAATAGCTAAATACCTCAATCAGTTTCAGAATGTCATTTTGGTACTTTGCTGGCCACACAAGCCATTATTCACTAGTATGACTAGTTGTGTCCTGCGGTTTATATTTAACTTTCTTTATGTCTGTGGATTTTTTCCTTCAAAGTTTAATAAATTTATTTTCTTGGATTCCTGATGGTGTGCTTCTGTCGAGCTTCAGTCTGAAATGTCGGTTCTTGGCACACTCATGCAGAAGGATGACCAGACGCACCAAAGTAAGGCAAGCACAAAAATTAGGTTAATTGAGGAAAGATAGGATTATAGAGCAAGAGCAAGATATAGGTTTACAGAGTGAGATACATACGCCACAGAAGACAACTGGACCCATTGTCACAGCAAATGGGAAGGAGCAAAAAAGGGGCTTAGTTTGGTGTAGGTCTTGGTTTATAGTGCCTAGATTGGGACCTCCCTCATGGCTCAGACGTCACCATGAAACCACTTTGATTGGACAGTTGGGAGTTACATGACCTGAGTCTTTCTACGCATGCGGATCTCCCATGAGCCTCTCTGAAAGCCCGTGGGGGAGGCAGTGAACTGCAGGTGCGTCCACTTCCGTCTGTAGGAGTCTCAGAATCCCTCGCTATCTACCTAACACTTGTATTGTAAAACACCAACATGAAAAGCGTCCTAAACCAGGTTGTATACTATGAATTCTTCCTGTTATAAGGGGAACTCAGCACAATTGGTTTAAACACGTTTGCACTGGGTATGGAGATTTTTTTTTTTAGGTGCTGAAATACAGAGAGACAGAGGAGGCAGCTCCCTCCCTCTCTCTTTTGAGGAGACAAGAGCCCAGCTCAGACATATCCTGCTGCCTTATCTGGACTGTGCCTTAGGCTGTGACTCCCATGAGCGAGGCTCACAGAGCCATGTATTGGATATATCACAGGAGTTGAATGACATGGGTGTGGAGTAAGGGAGAGAGGTGCATGGGTCTGGTCTGGAAGCTACATTTCTAGTTTGAGCATGTTGTCTGGAAGGAAGAAAAGCAGCTCTTCCTCTACCATTCACCCATTGGCACAAGTCAGTTTGTCAGACAAGCTACTTGTCATCATGGGAAGCAGGGATGTCAGGCCTGAAAAGGGAGGCTGGCTAGGTAGATTGTGTAGGAGTCTGAGAGAGCAATAAATCCGTGAAGCACAGATTCCTGCTACAGGAGGAAGGCTCCAGGTGGGGTAGCTACTGAACCACAGGTTCTTGTGTAGGCACTGGGTCCTGAGATGTAGGAGTCTGGTGATGGCATTGATAAACCCACTGAATAATTGTTTATTTATTGCTTCAGCAAGTTGAATGCAAAGTGCCACAAATTTTTATACTACACGACGGTTACAATCAGTATAGAAAAAACTTTTCCACCTGCTGCCTTTTACCCTTTAAACAGCCATTACCTGAAAGAACCATGGCATGAAGCCTCAGGGGTTACTTATTTGGAAGTATTGCTTGGAAAGTTGTGTCCCTTCTCTTACTAAAATATTGGAACATATACTGCCTTAACATTTCCAGAACAAAACAAATAAAATGTCACCATTATAAACTCCAGATATTTATTTCTCACACACACTATGAGACTCAGCCTTATAATATTACAGGCTTACCATTCATATGAGGTGCTTTAAGATACGAGGAGCAAGCAAAAGGAAGGCCTATCCACTTCTATGGATCGAAAGAGCAGTCTTTTCTATGTCAGAAAATAGAAAATGGCATGTTGAAGATGGCTACACATGTGTTTCTGTATTTAAACTTCTCAGTGATTCTAGTAAGATATCCTAACACTGAAATCTATTCAAGTGCTATAATATTTACATATTTTACACCAAAATGTCTTTTCATGTGCTTTGCTTAAGGTAGGAAATAACAACAACAATAAAATAAAACCTGGAAGTTATTTAAATCCAAGCCCTTTTGGAATCCAAGATCCCACATAATTTGTCTCAGTCTTGTTTGCTAGTTTAATATTTCAGAGCTGTATGTAAAGGGCACAGCTTCTGAATAAGATTTTCGACCTTTCGTTAACACTCCAGCTCTGCATGAAATCTAATGAGGGTATTATGTCAACTATGTTACATAGGCAACATTGCTAATGATTAAAATTATCTCTGACTGGTAAATTACATCTGGATGGGGAGAAACTGTAAATAGCTGGAGATAAACCATACTTTGGACTTGAGTATGATGACTTTCATAATTGAGCCTGTCCCCTAGAGAGACACTGGAAACTGTGTCTATGGACTTGTAACAAGAGCTGTTGGCTCCAATGGGGCATAGAGCTTCTAAGCCTAGGCGACTCCTTCACCTACTCAGTACCTTCCCTTCTATCTGAGCTGTCACTGGGGATGCAGGGGAAAAAAACAGCTGCTAGACAGCTGTATAAACAGCTGTGTAAACTGCTTCATAGAGTGTTGCCATGACTATGACTCTAAAGCAGAAAGCCTGCTGCTACATCCTTCCTGTCCCAGCAGCCTGGGACCAAGTGTGGTCTGTGGTCATTTAGTGAATGATCAGTTGACCCTAAGAAGATACCTTTGCAGATGTAGCAAGAGACATTTGCCTGTTGCTCGAACGAAATTTGAGCTTTCCAATATTCTTGCCCATGCCTCTTCCTCTAACTGAAAAGCTCCCACTTACCAATCCTGGCTGTCAAAATTCCCCTCATCCTTCATGGCCCAGCTCAAGTGCTACTTCATGAAGCCTCCTCTGAGTCCCTCCATTCTTAAGTGATCATTCCCTTCTCTGAACCACTTTATAATGGCGTTTGCCACACTCTGCTTGTTAGCTCACTTAACAACCACCTAGAATGGGTTTACCATTCTGGGGAATACATGCATGACCCGTAAAATGTTCATAAATGGATGAATCTGGAGTCAAATAAGTTTGGAAAACACCTCATACTACATTCCCCTCTGGGGGAGTCATAGTACATTTTGACATTTTAAAGTTTCTACAGTTAAAAAATCTGTTTAAATTTAACACGTCATTTCCTAATTTATTTAACAATGAGACATGAAGTGGTGAAAGAATACCCAATATTATATGATATCTATTAACACTTGGGAAAAGCTGTTTAAAAAGAGTAGCATACCTGGCACAAAATAAGGTTGTAATAAATTTCAGATGAATGTGAATCTGAACAAAGTGTCTTTATATGATGCCATTAAACTCTTACTCTCTCAATAAAGCTCCCTAAAAAATAAAAGGCAAAGCATCTGTGTGATCGAAATAACCACAGATTCTTCTCATCTCAACTCAGCTACATTACTTTTTTATGTGTGGAATGACATTTTTCTTAGGGCTTAGAGGGCTTAGAGCAATCGTTATCTTCTCAGTGACAGTGACCCTATCTGCTTGCTGAAACAGAATTTGACTCTCCCCAATTTTCAGCCCACACACTAGGAGAGAATGATTAACACATGGGATTTATCAATATTAACAAATTCTCATCCTTATTTGAGACATCTAGTTTTCTCTGAAATCTGAGGCTTAAAAAACCAAGAAATGTTTATATCACTCTTCATGAGGAGGAGCATATTTTGTGTGAAACTACAGAATATTTACCTGTTATTACCTGGACAAAAATAATTCACTCCTTACTGCTGTCTGCTGGGTTAAAAAAAAAATTCACCCAGACAGAACTTCGAATATAACTTTTTGCACAGTAGTCCCAGGAAGCAGTCTTTGTAGGAATACATGGAAAGCAATTCTCTATTGATTTAAAAATATATATATATATATATATATATATCTCTACATGATTTCTCTGTGGACATTAAGAGATGTTAGCAGCTTTTTCTGTAAGGATGAAATGATTTTTCAGGAAATTGTATTCACTTTGACTTCCCCAAAAGTACTATAGTCAAAAATCCAAAGTAGAAGGATTTTCATTGTTAGCTTTCCTTTAAATGGTACCATATGATAAAAATAACTTGCATAGTGTTCTGATTTTTTTAAAGTACTGTCAAATGTGTTATTTTATTCAAAAATAAAAAATATGTATTGTAAACAAGTCAGATATATTTTTAACATTTTATAAGAGAGAAAACAAAGGCTCAGAAAACTTAAGAGATTTTTTCCCAAAGTTCATAAACTAGTAAATGGTGGGAAAATCCAGAGTCTCTGACTAGTCCAGAGTTCTAGAAACAATGCAGGTTATAACATTACTGGATGGCGAAAAGGCTTCTGTGATCCTATTCACAGTGTGAAAAATATAATGGAAAAATAATTGTTGTATAATACCAATGGGCCCAAAGAATCAC